ATCCTCATGGATTTAGACAGATTCAGTGCTGAATATATGAGTGGTATCGCTGTAACATTTTTGGAGGTACTCAGGTTGAGGTAACAGATCAATGAATCCGCAGCAAGATTCCATCTGTATTACAAACAGTTACGTCATGATCTAGAATATATCAACCTTTTCAGTATATTCACTAATTTCGTGGTCCGCTTGACCAATTAATATATTACAATTAATTAAGGTTTTTAGTTGAGATAAAAAAACGAGCGGGATTCGAACCCACGATCTTCGGCTAGATACGCCGCTGCTCTACCACTTGAGCTATCGTGACCACGATCCACTCGGACACCAACTTCCCAAGAGGGAAAACTCAAAAGGTGGCTTTCATTGGCTTCAACCTTTTTCATTATATCATTCATTGTTTGTTTTGAGTTGAGTAATGCTTGGATAGAAATACCATGTGCCTTTTCAATATCGCTATATTCCCTAAAGCAGAGTAGATTTTTTTCCCATAATACTGTTGTTGGGTAGTGTGGGTATCTGTCAGGGGTCAACTTGAGACACCTAATTATATAACTGAGGTGCAGTTTTAGTGAATATAGGAAAATAGGTGTAGTTTCTAATTGTAGGTAGAGCATATAGTTAGGCTTGTATGAGGGTAGGTTTAGAATATTTTGAGGTAAGATCTTTGCACTTTTTCTATAATATCTTGGTATTTATATCCCCATACCTGAGCCCCATAACACAAGGTGGACCTGCATATAGCATTAAATACAATCATTTTAGATGCAATAGGGATTTTAGTGTTTAGGACTATATTTCTCAATGAGTTTATTACAAATTTTGATTTTGCCTTTTTGTCTTCAAAATGTTTCCTTAGAGAAGACCCAGAAGTCAGAATCGCCCCCAGGTATTTGTAGGAATTCACTACCTCAATTTTGTTTGCACCGTACCACCATTTCTCGTTTTTCCCTGATTTGCCACCATTCCTGAAACCATTCTTTGCCGACGTTTCGATTTCAAAGATTCGAAGTCGTTTTCTTTCCGACACAACCATTGACCGATATTTCCATCACCATCGATACACCACAATTATATTCAACGGTCATCGTAAGTTACATAATTATTGTAACATTTAAACTTTTTTCTATTTATTTATTTTAGTATGCTGAAAGAAGTCCGGAATCTTGATATGGGTTTCCTCCAGTTTATTTCATTTCTTCCGAAAAAATGAAAGCAAAAACTATATTCAGCCCTATTTAAGGTATTTTTATGTTACGAAATTCAATAATCGTGTATTTTACATATAGCTAAGCGTTCATAGAGGCGTTAAGAAAAACATAATCAGCTCGAAGACGTTTCTGAATTGCCAAACCAGGCTCTTGATAATGCGAAACGTAGTTACACTCCGCTGGGTGAACAGGCGGATGCCGTTGCACGCAAAGAAACCTGCACACTGCTAAAAAGACTAGAACTCTTCCGATGAATAAACAGTAATAATAATAATAATAATAATAACAACTGAGGAATTTGAGATACAAGAACTTGTGATTCTCTCTAGAATGCGAATAGGTCAGATCAGAATAATCCGTAATACGCTTTTAATAGGCAACAACCTACCAACTTGTAGAAATGTGTGGTGTTTAGTGACTGTTAGTCAATGATTATTTGGAGATCGTGAGATGCGGTCTGGTGTGACGTAGGTTTTAGAAAACCATTTTCTTTATCGTGCCAACGTTTCGATCTTTATTGAGATCATCTTCTGTGAAGATGTGTCATTCTTGTGCCCATGGGCACTCTTAACACGACACACAAAAATGACACATCTACACGGAAAACAAACACTTTGAGCCCTGAAGATGATCTCAATAAAGATCGAAACGTTGGCACGATAAAGAAAATGGTTTTCTAAATCTCCATTATTATTATTGGCATATGGGAAATTCTCTAGTTTTCGTCGTCCGCTTGACCAATAAATATCTTTCAATTAATTAATGTTTTTAGTTGAAATAAAAAAGCCAATGTTGAAAAATGGCAAAATGGAGGGAAAATTTAAAAGGTGGGGTTGAGATGGGAGGTTACAGAGAGTAAAATCTACTCTGCTTTAGGGAATATAGCCATATTGAAAAGGCACATGGTATTTCTATCCAAGCATTACTCAACTCAAAACAACAATCAATGATAGCCAATATAAAAAAGTCGTACGTAGAGAAAGCATGTAATTCCTTATATCACCCCCAATTTAAAACCATCCTAAATTGTAATGCTTACCTGCGCACAAACAACACCTTGAAACAAGCTGGTTTATGAAAATAAGATGTGAATTATTAAATCTAAATATGTATAAATTTGGCCAGATCAATAAGCTATGTTCTTTATGCAATAAAAACGAAGAGGAAAGCATTACACATTTCATTGCCCACTGCTCAATTCTCTCTGAATTTAGAATGCTGATATTTGGAAAGTGCTTTCTAACCAAAGAAGTCTTGCTTGTATACTTACGAGGAGAAAAAGACTGGACCAAATTAGTCGAGTATTGTAGAATGGCATGGAAGTATAGGGAGAGGGTAATACAAGAATTTAACTATGATTAAATCTTCATCACACCTGTTTAGCTTAATATTAAAGAACAATTTATTAGAGTAATTTTAATAGCATGTAAAATGACATATATTTATTATTTATGTATTTATTATATTATGTATAAATGCTATAAGTTACTATTGTTTAAATTTATTTTATTTTTATTCATTTTATTTATTTTTTGCATGAATTATATCATTAAACTAGTGTTAAGATAAGTTGTTAATTAATATTACATTCTATTGCTTTGTTAAAACATTTATTGCTTATACTATTTATACATACATGTGCGTACTCCCCTGACGATCTTGTTACCATGGGAAAAGCCTGTTTAAACATATATATCCAGATTAAACTACATATTGTCAAATAATATAAATAAAGGCAATTTATTATTATTATTATTATTATTATTATTATTATTATGACCTAAGGTTTGATGCCGCGCGAATGCGAACGGAGTGAGAGGGCAGAACAGAAACAAGTCGGGAAGCCGGGGAGTTTCGTCATCTTGAGACAACATCAGAAGTGGGATGGATTCAGCCCAAAGCAGTTGGTCGCCATTAGACGAAAGGTATGAAGATTTTACTAACCACGAACAACGCCAGAATAGAAAGAGTAAGAGTGAGAAAGAAAGTAGAGTGGGAAAATGAAAAAGTGAGTGAGCGAGAGAGAGAGAGAGAGTGAAAGAAAGACAAAGAGAGCATGTGAGAGATTGAGATTGAGAGAGCGAGAGAAAGCGAAATTGAGTGAGAGTAAGATCGTAAGAGAGTGAGAGAGAGAGAAAAATAATGGGAAAAGTGAGTGGAGAGAGATGGTCTTTGTATTATGTCCTGGGAACAATTTCCCTAAGAACATCAACATAATACAATAAAGCAATACAGCAAAAATTAAATAATAATAACAGTAACACTGAAGGAATTAATTATTCGGACAAAATCAATATATTTATCTGTGGTGATTAGTGACCGTTAGTCTATGATTATTCGGAAATCTTGAGATGCGGTCCGGTGTGACGTAGTTTCAGAAAAACATTTTCTTTACCGTGCCAACGTTTCGTTCTTTATTGAGATCATCTTCAGGGCTCAAATTGTTTGTCTTCTGTGTAATTGTGCCATTCTTGCGTGTCGTGTTGAGAGGGGACTTTGAGCCCTGAAGATGATCTCAAATTTAAACAATGTTTGTAAATCCCAGACGCTGAAGATGATCTCAATAAAGATCGAAACGTTGGCACGGTAAAGAAAATGTTTTTCTGAAACCTACGTCACACCGGACCGCATCTCACGATTTCCGAATAATCATATTTATTTATTAAATCCATTATACTTCCTGGTCCGATTGACCAAATAACCTCTTTCAATTAATTAATCTTTTTATGTAAGGTATTGGTTGAAATGAGAAAGTTGATGTCACGAGCGGGATTCGAGCCTAAGGTCGTGGGTTCGAATCCAGCACGTGACGCTAACTTTTTCATTTCCACCAATACCTTACATAAAAAGATTAATATTTATTTATTATAATTTATAAATACATACATATACGGATATATACATATTATAATAAATAGATTTTGCTTTATTTATTTTATTCTTTTTCTTAAATTTTCTTTAAAAAATGTCTTGCTCGTCAGATTGTTTTGAAATTTTGAGAGAGAGAGAGAGAGAGAGAGAGAGAGAGAGAGAGAGAGAGAGANGAGAGAGAGAGAGAGGGAGAGAGAGAGAGAGAGAGAGAGAGAGAGAGAGAGAGAGAGAGAGAGAATTGAATTGAAACGCTTTATTTAAATTACTTGCAGATTTAGTACATATTGACCTTTCTTACATTCAATGAGGAAGAAAGAGAAAGAGAGTTAGAGAAGAAAGGAATAAAGAAACAAAGAGGAGAAATGGTGAGGAAGGAGGGAATGTGAAAAAATAAAGAAAAAGAGAGAGAAAGAGATAATTTAAAAAATAACAGAGTCGGCAACAGTTATGATGAAATATCATTTTTGCACGGTTTAAAAATATACGCCCCAGTGTTCTTGTACAAAGAGGTTAATCATGCGTGCTCTTCGAAATTATAAAATTGTGCAGCCACTTTTGTGTCTGTGTAAAATGTTTTAAAGATTTTGGAGATTTTAACTGAGTCTATCGTCAATTTGTCTTGTCACATCATCATGGTTGCTGGTCGGACGTAATCTTTCATCTACCGGACTTGACATGGAAAGGGCTTCCGATGACCGTCTATTATCGTTATATTTGTAAGTCGACACTCAAATTTTCATCGGTTTATCGATCAGGTCGGCGAGGATCGAGGCGTCAAAAAGGCATCACGATATCCGGATTGGGTCCGGTGAGAAAAATGTAATTTGTGCCTTTAGGTGTTCTTCAAGAGAGGCTACCTCCCATGGCGCTCTCCTTGGTGGGGAGAGCCGGCCACCTAGTCAACTGACGTCACCGACTGGTTGTTACCGGCCACACCAGAGCCAACACTCGAACGGGCAGCATGTTCTTTCTTCCAGCACCATCTCAGTCAATAGTCAGTCAATAGTGACCGAGGAGTACGGAAGACAAACCGGCCCTAGACTCGTTTCTGTTCAGTGAAATGTGATTAGTGTGATTGCAACGACGACTGTGCTTTAAGGATCTAAATTCTAAATTACGTAAGTTGAAATATTTCACAAATTCCATACTTGTTGCATGAATTATTTCTTCTGGGCTTATTTTTTTTTTTAATTGAGATACTTTTCATTATTATTGTTTTTTTAACCGTTGGAAAACCTAGAATTCATGATTCGTCTTTGAGACGTTCAATGAGATACCCAGGCTTAACAAGCCCATCGAAATGAGCTTTTGAGCCAGTTTAAAAGTTTCAAAGACCCCTTTGCTAATGGTCCAGTGCATTGTAGCTTTCTAATTGCATAACCGTGTATGCCATGCAACGGAGCAAGTGGATTCCTTTCAAAAGCGACCCCAAGAGACAAAAGGAGCATCTGGCTTCGTGGATCATAACGTTTCCTTATCGTCTTTTTCGATTCGTTCTCACAGTGAAAAATGTCAAGATGATTAAAAAACGCCCGGCCCAGATGTTCACGGCTTCACCGGGCATTAAAGTCTCCAGGGGGGCAGGTGTATAATTTTTTACCTCACAACTATCGCCGAATTAAGAGGCCCTTATCTCCTTTCTCTTTCCTCTGTTTACAAAATAAATAAACAATTAAAAGCATAATACACGCCTTTATTAAAATAAGCGGTTACAAGGTTATATAATTGGGCTGTCTTTTGACAGAAGCCCCAACCCAGGAAAGGCGAAATTAGAATAAAGTAACAAGTACATTATGAACAAAAATAAAGAGAAATTACGGTGAATTTTTAGTAAAATCTTATATCTCGTTATTCCCAAGTAAATAGAAACGTCTAACTCTTCATTACAATATTAACATAAAATATGATTAAAAGATAAGAACAATCGTCCATTGAAAGTTTATAACCGCCCATGAATCCATCTTTTCTAAATATACTCGAGGTCAGTGTATTATTTTTGCATAATTAATACTTTAGGAAGTATGAAGTATTATTTAATTAATTTTGATGCCCAATGCAAGATTGTCAACATACCACAAAACATCTACATTATTTTTCACTGAATTATGAATAACAATTTTGTCTCAGTAAATTGTTGAGGATTTTTTAAATAATAATTAATTCTTCATGTCAACAAAATGTTGAGGAATGTCAACGGATTTTCAAACATAGAATTTTATATCTCTTTATTTTTTATGGTTTAAGAGACACATCTCTAATTTGTCATTAGTCACGATGAAATTTCATAACGTATGAAGTATTTTACTCGATTTTCTTTGAATACAGGCTAAATACAAGATAGTCAATGAACTATTAAAATAATTAAATAAATTTATTTATTTAAAAATTATTATTTATTAAATAATTAAAATTATTTTTAAAAAATGTCTGCTCTATCGAAAAATGTTGAGGAATGCCAACGGATTTTCAAACATAGAATTTTATATCTCTTTATTTTTTATGGTTTAAGAGACACATCTCTAATTTGTCATTAGTCACGATGAAATTTCATAATGTATGAAGT